TTTTTTCTTTTTCTTTTAATCAACTTCATTATATTTAATCAGATATTTTAAATTTAAATTATGTAATAAAAAAAATTTACGACAAAAAGTATCGGACGAGTCATCAAAATTTGTGTGAATAATATTATTTCACATTATATTGGTCAAGTTTTATTTAGTACATACTTCTTTGATTAGGACCTTATTATGATGCATAAAAAGGGGTTAACATGTAACAATCAAAAATCCAACAAGGGGTCCATAATTTGGTCCCATCTTTGAAAATTTGACCCTTATTAAGTCCTTTTTAAAATAATAACAATTATTATATCTAATCTGATATTGTTGCATTTAACTAATATTGATAAACTTATCTTCTTCTTTTTTACGGAGAGTTGTGAGTAACGATAAAATTGTCTTCATGTTACATCACATCTATTCATGAGGTGCGATCTTTTCTCAAATCAGGTATGAATAAGGAATGTTTTATACACGGATTGTCTTTATCTCTTCTTTACTTTACTCCCTTCATTGAAAAAGTCTCAAAATTGCAAACAATTTTGATCAGTATTCAACTGATTAGAGCCATGTTAAGTAAGATGAGAGTCGATAGAAGGTTAACAAGCTAAGCTTTCTTAAACAAAAACCCTAATCAAAATACAGTAGAATCAATTGATATTATTTAAATAATAAACTTCACAAAAGCATCTTTTTATGTTTAACAAGTTCTAAAATATATTCAACATAAAACATAATGACAGATCTAGACATTGTTATAAACTACAAATTCTCTACGTAACGTAAGCATATTAAATTCCTCTTTATTTATCAACCACAAGTCTATGACAAATCTAGGAATGAGGTTTCAGATTTAAATATTATCTTAGGAAAAAAAATATTAAATAATTTCTTTCATATGGATAAGTCCTGAAAAACAAAATTACTCCATGAAAAATAATAAATATCTCATAAAATTAGTCTAAAGAGCCCAAATTAATTTGAACATCATAATTACATATATGAAAAATAATAGTTAATCTAAAAGACACGTATTATAGTATTCAAGTCTTTAACCAAAATTTCACTCAAGTTTTACCAAACTTAAGTGTGGATTAATAGGTTATACCTAAATATATTTAAGGTCATTGTCTTACATTAACTATAGGCATTTAACTCTATTAATGTGTTAAGTGTATATATAAAGATTAAATTAAATGTTTTGTTCCCTCCAATTCATTTCATATGCATGAGAGATATCGTCTAACTAGAGATAAAAAAAACAAAAAAAACATTAAAAAACATATCTCATTGATTATGCAATGAAGTCATATTGTCTATGTTGTTAACGACTGTTAAAATCACAATATATCTCACTACTTTACTAACAAATTATCTCTTTTGACTAGAAAAATAAATTGAGTTATCCTTTATAGAGTATGGAGGGAAAAAGTAGTTATTTTGATTCCAAACTCAAAATATCTTATTAGTATTATATATTAAACTTGGCAATAAGCAAGCAACCACTTTGGAACTCTTCTTTATTTGCCTATATTTATCATTTATCCCTTTTCAAAACTATCCAAATTTACACTTCTTCTTTTTTCTTTCTTTTTCTTGTTCTTGTATCCTTTTTGTGTTGAAATAAAATAATTGAAAGAATTATTTTTTAAAAAAAGAATCTTTTGAAAATGTCAAATAAGATTAGTAGTTCAAGCTACAAAGTGAAATCTCCAATGGCAATCACAATATTTGGACACTTGTTGTTTATAGCTATAACAATACTTGTATTAGTTTGGCTTTTGCACTTTAGAGAAGGCCTTGCTTTCACTTCATCCAACAAGGCCAAGATTTTCAATGTAAGTTTCTCATCGATATAGTATTTACCGATCACTTTTAAATCACATCTTCAGTCTTAAAATTTAATTTATGATTTCAAATTTTAGAAATGAAAAGGACAATTATTCATGTCCTAGAGCTTTATTTGTAAGAATTTAAAATTTCAAGGCGATGGTTATTTTTTGTTGTAACTTGTAACTAATTGTTGTAGAAATTATTGTATCAACTAACCACCTTTCGACTCTATTTTCGAAAAATATTCTTTGACTAGGATATTAGCTCTTTTTTTAACTAGGCTATTTGAAAAATTCCCCCTAATAATTTTATTTCTTTTCAAAATCGGAGGTAGTTTGTGGGAATTTTTGGGTGTTATTTTTTTTTCTTTCTATATTTTATTTGTTTTATATTTCTCTTGTCCTAATTATTGGGTATTTTGGTACTTGCAGATTCATCCAATGCTTATGGTTATTGGATATGTCTTAATGGCTGGAGAAGGTAGGATAAATTTTTTTCTAACATTACCAAATATTCTTTTTTTAAACAAAATTATTTTTTAATTCTAGTAATATATTTGGTTATTCAATTATCTTTGCTTTACACACTTCCCTTTTTTTTTTCCATATTTCATTATTGCTTCTTCACTTTATGTATTTTTTAAATTTGATTTTGAAAATATTTTCTTGAGCAAAGAGTTAATCAAAAATTTTATTATCTTGGTAAAGCCCGTATATAAATGCACTATACTGATGAGATCACGTTGAATATGTTATCGTCCTAAGTAATATTAAGTAGGGTTAAGCCCTTTTTATTTATTTGTTTGTTGGTTTGTTTGTTTCTCTTATTATATTAACAATCTAAATTTGGATATTTTGGACAGCAATTATGGCATACACAACAACTCCAACATCAAGGAAAAATCATAAATTATTTCACATGATTCTTCATTTGATAGCTCTTTTGAGTGGAATTATTGGAGTAATTGCAGTTTTCAAATTTCATAATGAATCTGGAATTCCTCATATGTATACATTTCACTCTTGGATTGGTCTTTCCACCATCATTCTCTTTGGTTTGCAGGTAAAAATTAGTATGTCACATTTTATCTGGCACAGTTCGAATTTCGATTCTTTTAATTTTGACAAACTACTAGAAGTCATAATATTACAAGACGTAAAAATTAAAAAATACAATCAGAAAGAAAGACTCATTTGAATCTTAAAATTCAGATATCATGACGATTTTTTTGTTGTTGTTTTTGTTAGTGGATAATGTCCTTTTTGACCTTCTTATACCCCGGGGCGCGATCATCGACAAGATCAAGGGTTGCACCATGGCATGCCCTAATTGGGATCACCATATTTTTCATGGCAATAGTAGCTACAGAGACAGGCTTGGTGCAAAAATTCATATTTTTGGGCCTTACAAGGAACCAAGAAGGACTTATAGTTAATTTCATTGGGCTTTTGATCCTCCTTTTTGGAATTTCGGTTGGTGTTAGTGTTCTCGTGTAAAATTCACAAATAATCACTTTTCAATCTACATAACTAAAAAATATAGTTGTTAATATGGATCTTCACTAAAACTCTACGATAATGACTATTTAAAAAGGACAAAAAATCATGAGATGATGTGGTTATTAGTCAAATAGTTAAATTCTGTTGTAAATATTTTTCTTTAGTGTTGTTTCGTGTGTTATAAAGAATTACTTGGTTTTTGTATGGGTAGTTTGGATTTGTATTTTTTTTTCACTACATATTTTTTTTCTTGTATTCATGTCTTGTATTTAAAATGGCTATGTAAATAGACTCTTTTGTTTCTCCTTTAGTTGATTATGTCAAGTGTATGACTATGACCTTTCTTTCGTAGTTTTGATCGATTGGATATTTTCATCACGACTAGTAGAGTGTATGCAGACCTTATCTCTATCTTAGAGTTGAGGTAAAGAGGCTGTTTTTTATAGAGATAGACCATCGGCTCAAAATTATTAAATTAAGGGAACTTATATTATTTTTGGTATCATATATATATGGTACATAATCATAAATTATTAAATAAGGAAACTTATATTATCGTGACAGAAAATAAATTGTAATTATCAAGAATATCTTATTAATAAATAGTGCGGATATGATTTTATTGCATTGATTCTTCTCTCATAAAATTTATCAATGATTTGAGATCGTTAGTATTGTATTTCTCGAACCAAGATATTTGAATTTGATCTTTACGAATAATTCACGAATTTGGCAGAATATTCGAGATGAGTCTTCAAAGAATATAGTCTCCAAGAATTCTAACGAGAATCAAATTTATTTTGTAGAATCCTAACATAAATCTCCCACAAAATTTCGATATTCTCCCTTAAATTAAAGTCGCATTGTTATAAGTTAAATCCAATACTAAATCGGACTTGCAATAATTAATCCTAACCAATTAAGAATGGGAAAGTTTTTACTTTTCATTATATATATATTCCTTAATCTTCTTCTTATTGTTGTAATTAAATTTCAATTTTGTTATAATGGAAGCATATTATTATGAAAGTCGATGATATTTATGGAATCAGAATGTTTACTCCATCACAAATTTTTCACTTTTCAGAAGGAAAGAGCTAGATCGTCTTATTGGCGTTTGGAAATCTACCGAAAAAATGATTAAATTTTCGATCCTACTACAATTAATTCTCGATGCAACGTTGACAAAAAAGGCGTAATATTTGTCATGATGTTTAAGAATCAAAAACGAAAACATAATGATAATGATAATAATAATGATGATGATCAAGATGATGAAATGCAAATTGTTCAATCTCCACAAGGAGTTCATCTTGATGATCATCACCTTTAAGAGTATTGAAATTATTGATTATTGGTTGTGTAATTTGTCATATTTAAAACTATATGTATTACGTAATTTCTCAGAATAAATTGTTTGTTTGCAAACAGAGAATATACGATCGATATTGTTGCATCACTAAAGAGGAAAAGAGATTGTTTTAAGCATATGAATGGCAAAATTTGATTAAAGGGTGGCATGAACCACCTTACATTAATAAACATTCATGTTATATACATAAAAAATAATTATAACCTTATGGTATAATTTTCCTATTAACAAAGTGGCATGAACCACCTTTTATCTGATTGAACTAACAAGAAATTAAGAGGATATAAGGGTATCAATAGTATCCCAAAAATGTGAAAAATTTCTTTATGATGTTGTACAAGTTATATAAACAAAGTTACTATGAATTTTAAAGCACATTTCAGGAATAAAAAGAGTCTAACGCGATAAAACTCGAAATCTCAATTCAATGTAAGACATTCAATCAATCTCCCTGTACAACACAACGCGAATGTAACACAGTTACAACGTAACAACGCGTTTGTTTTTTCCGGAAAAGGAGGGATGTCGAAATAGATATAGAAATGTGAATGGCAAGAGTGTCACAATTTCAAATTCAGGTCAGGCAATGATGGTTGTGTATTAGGTGGTGGAGCCATTGGTACAAAATTTATGTTGGACCTCTGACCTGAATTAAGCACGACGTTGCTACCGACTCCGTCAACTTGACGGAAGCTCCCGGGCCAAAACATCTCCATGTCATCATCCTCCATGTATACTGGCACCCCGAAATAGCTCTGTTCGAATCTTGCCCCGCCTCTAATAGCATGCATATGCCTTTCTTGTTGTTGAGAGGCACGTTGATGTACGGAGGCATGAGCTTCGATGCCAAGTGATCGATATGGGGATCCGTGAAGGGGGAGCGATGCCAAGCTAGCGTACCTCTCTGATAGCATTCCCATCCGCATCGCCCTCTTTGCTAGAGTTCTCTCCCTCTTATGTGCATTTTGATGTCCTCCCAAAGCTTGTGAACTATAAAACTTGCGCCTACAAAAGTTGCACGAGAATATCCTCGATACTTGTGCAGCTGGAGGATGAGGCACTACTTCACTGCCAGCCTCGGGATTGCCCTTCGACTCGGTATCAGCACCGCTGTTGAAGCCAAGAGTCAAGTCAAGTGTAACGGCTTTCGACTCCTGCTGAAGATTGAGAGAGTTTGTCAGACAGGACGAATTGGTCGTGTTATCCTTGTAAGGATCAGGAGAAATTTCTTGGGCAGAAGTGTTGGAGGCAACTTGGCTGCTGCTGACTTCGGACTCGTCTTCCGATTCAAGATTGAAATTCGGTGGCTTCATGCTGCTCCCGAAAAAACGCAGTGCAAATTTGATACTTAGATAACAACAAGTCGAAAAATAACTGAGCGGTGATGACTTCCAGTCCTTGACTAACCTACAGGTATACAGGGAAGTAAATCATTTTGTGAATGACAAAATAACCTCCTCTGCCATGTGTTGGTTAGCAAAACTCATGGGGAAGCCAGAATTTACCAATTGAGTTCAACATATGACGAAAAAGAAAACACACAAAGAAGTCAAAGGAGTATAAGAAGAACACGAGAGTATTTGCGAGGTACTTAAGCAAACCAAAACCAAAGACAGAGTATAAGTAAATTATAATGTAATCAAGTTCCGAGCTCGGACAAGCAAATCATGTATTTCTCTTCAGACTAGTACCTAGAATGCTAGAAAGGTGTTTCGACGACCATCTCAGAAAGCCAGAAAACTTGTTCATTCTTGTCTTTTTCTTTAATCATCACCTCTCTGAAGTCTGAACTAGCAACAAAATGTTTATATGTCCTAGACTACAATTTACGATAACTCAAACAAAGCTTAAAGACTACATGTTTTTAGATTATTACATTCTACTCAAATCTTCAAGATTAATGCTCGAAATAGAAGCGGACAAGTTCCCTACATATCAGAAGAAGAAAAAGAAAAAACAGTCTTCTTTTCAGCGTTCAGTGTCAAGGTTATGATGTTAACATAACTTACAGAAGGCCTGCAAGTTACCTATGCTTTGTCGTAAGCTTAATATAGTAATAGCGTGAAATTCACTTTGATAATCATTTTTTTTGTTCCAAATATTCTTGAACTCCAACCAACTGTGAGTTCATTAGTAAGCAAATCTCATTAGTTCTACTTTTCCCAGAAATGATTTCACAAACCAAGACAACGAACGAACAACTAACAGGAGATAATTACCATGTTTTTATTACATTCGACAACAGAAGACCTATTTGTATAAATAATCGACACTTCCTTCCACGGCATGATACACTAATTTGACCATACAATAATGCATCTTGAACCTTTTAAAACGATCCAACTACGCTAAAAAGTATTTCGGTCAAAATTCCAGCTAAACTGCGTCCACTTGTTTTGTGTTACTCAAGAAGCTAGATGCATAACGGTAGGTCGGTGGCTAACACCGATCCGATCAAACCCCCGTTTGAGAGAAATGTACCTCATCCCAAAATGAACACAGAGGTTATTTTTGAAAGACTCTCAGCTCAAGTGCAACAAATCAACTAATCTAATCGCAATATTACAAAGAATCTAAAAACTTCTATTTGTGACTAAAAGTTTTCAAAAAAGGTTAGGAATTTTACTGGCTCAACTGTCTTCTTCAATCCAACCAATTTTGCTTTCCTTCTAGTGGGATCTTATCAAAGTTCAAAATTCAGTACAAAAATGAAGAATTTAAAGAAGGCAAAAACAATACTTCATTTTTCTCCTTTGGTGAATATTTCTAAAAAAGCAGAATTGCCACAAACACAAAAAGAGCATACGAGAGTAACGTACGCAAACCTTATCTCTACTTTTAACAAATTAGAGAGAGACTATTTTCGATTGACCATAAAGTCTAACCAACTAGTCATATAACAACATATATAAGATCCCAAATTGATTAAAACCATATAAACAAGAACCATATACAACTACATATCCACAAAAATTAAGCACAAAAAATTTCCAAATTTTACAAACAAATTAATATTAAACTCAAAACAAGTATATACACATCTAGGGGGGGGGGGGGAATCAAGAAAATAAAAGTGAAATATCAAATCTTGAAGAAAAAACATACCTTTTTTCTCTTTTTTAATTTTATTGATGAATTTTTCAATGATATGACAAGACTTGTTGTTCTTCTCCTCCTTTGTGTGTGTGTTTTTAGTTTTTTACTAAATATGGTGAGGCAGAATTACAAAAGATAACAGAAAGAAGAAAAAAAGAAGAAGAGGAGATAAGATCATTAGATATAGAGAGAGAATGAGAAAAAAAAATGGTGGGATGTCAGAGAAAGTCAGAAAAGAAATGAGATATAATACATAGTATATTAGTTAGTACTATACACTATTTTTGTTCTTCATAATCATAGCTGAAAAAGGCATTTAACAATAAAGACAGAGGAAAGAGGTGTGGGGTTGGGTGGGTGGGTGGGGAAAATAGTGTTGGTAGGAAAAATAAGTTTGTGTTCGTTCGGATATAAAAATCGTGAAATTTGATAAAGAAAAATTATTTGAAAATGAATGTTTTTGGATTTTTACGAGTGATATATTAGAGTTGAAATTGTGAAAATATTATAATAAAAATAATTTTTAATAGAGATAAATGCACACATTAATAAAATATTAATTAAGTTTTCTTAGATTTAATATCACTAAAAATTTTAGTGTTAATTATTGCTATAAATATTTATTTAGTGACAGTTAAGCTAATAACGTTATTATCGCCATTAAAAATAATTCAAATAATATTGAGAAAAAGGTGAAAAATATTCATGGAAAAGGATATCTTATGTGTTAGAATATTTCATTAACTTATTTTTATCCAATCACTAATTTTTTTCAGTGAAAATATTCAATGACTAAAAAAACTAAAAAACTTTCTATTATTTTAGCGAAAATCTATTTTTTATCATATTTTTTTACACTGAATCAATTCAAGGATAAAAATAGACTTTATTTCTCATTGGTTTGCAATAAAAGAAACTCATATCTTTAGTCGTAAGTTTTTATATGAAATAACTTATTTAATCACTTAAATAATCGTAGATGACTAAATAATACTCATTATAAAAAATTATCTTATAAAATATATATTTTTATAGCACCAACTAAAATGAACCTGATTTAAGTGTACATTATTAGTACTTAAAAGGTCCCCCACAAAAAAAGAGAGAAGAAAACAGAATCCATTTTACATCAATCAAGTTAAAAGAGCATAAGATTCTGTTCAACTTTTTCATTTAACTTGTTGAATGGAAACCCATAACATCCCCATTCCCCCCACCTCTTGTCCTCTTCTATCTTTCATTTTATTTTTTTTCCAAAAATTATAAAAAAAAATTCAATTTTTATAATATACATTTCAATTAATAAAATATCTAACTTTTTTTTGAGTGAAATATGTATAGATTCAATTTCTAAGTATCATTTTAAAATAATTTTATACTTCTGTATCGAGCCGATATGAGCTGGCTAGAGACTAGAGAATTGAGATTATCTATATAATTTTTTTAGATGAGATGATTTTACTTCATTAATTATAGTATATATGAGAGTAAATTTACATTAAAAATTTTCAGCCTCCTCCCTACTTTAAGGTTTATTAGGAACACCTAATTAAATAGAGTATAGTAAATCTGTACTGATTTAATTAGATATAATTAATAATGTAGATTATCAAAATGATTGAAAGAACATAAGAAGTCGAGTTTAGGGCTTAATAGCTTGGAGGTGCGTTATGAATTTTGATTATATCAAACTTACAAAGTAAGTAATTGACTAAATGTATAAAAAAATGATTTTGTAGCTAAGTATTTGTCGCAACAAACAAGTGGATAGTTCACAATTGTTTGAAGTTGTCACGATTTAAAATTTATAAATTATGATAATACTTAAATTTAAAAATTTAACTACAAATTTCAATAATTATTTTACTTACTTTGCTTTCTTTGTCGTTTACGTTTTCCTTTATTTGAATTTATTACATTTGAGTCAAGAATTCTTCAAAAACAATTTCTCTATTAATCGTAAAACCTGAAATTTTACTCTATATATTGTTGGGATTTACTGTTGTTGTTGCAACCCCAATTCCACCCCAGCCCCACATTATTAATATAAATGACAATGTATAATAAACAAAAATTGATTAGTTAGATCTTCTAATAATGTAAATTGTAAATCAAAAAATAATAACTTTGAGGTATGTCAAGACTTACTAAATATGATTTTCAATTATACCATCCATACTTAGTAAGTATTTGACTAAATGTCAAAAAAATAATTTTGTGCCTAAGCACTTGCTTGTCACAAGAAGTACTTAGTTATTCATGTTTGCAATTATCAAAGACTCAAAATTCATCAAGCCATGATAACACCTAAACTTAGAAATCCAATTACAAACTTCACTAATTATTTTAGTTGTTATATACTTGTTTTATTGTTTTTTTTCCCTTTAACTATACTTGAATTTGTTATATCTGAATAAAGCATTTTTCAAATAACTCTCTCTATCAGTAATAAAGTCCGTATATACTCAATTTTTTTTCATATTCTACTTGTGAAATTTAACTCCGTTGAGATAACTCTACCCCCTAACCCCACCCTACATCCAATTAATCATAAATGTTGAAATCATAGATGTGATGTTACATTCATTATTTATATATAACCCATATAGCAACATACCACATTTGATGGCAACAAGCCACATTGCAATTAGACAAAAGGGCATGGACCACAGACAGTCTCTATAAAGTTGTGTGAACAATTTTTTGGCAGATTCCATTCAACAAAATGTGCTCATCTCCATTCCTAGGTTTAAAAGTTTATATTATTATTTTTTATAATATAAAGTTTTAAGTTTATAGTAGCTCAATTTTAGAAATTATTGAGCTAATATATAGCTAGGTACTACCAATTCCTATCATTTGAAAAGAAAATGAGATACTGAAATTCTTCTTCTATCACATTTTAGGGTTAAAGTTATTTTACTTTTTCGATTTTATTTTAAAAATCAAATATTTCGAAAATTAATAGACATTTTACTCTCCTATTTTGTGCCATGTATATTACTCCCTAGTCTCAATCTCGTTTACTATTTTGATATTTGGCTACATATTAAACTATTTTGACATTTCGCTATATATTAAATTATTTTAACATTTCGCTACATATTAAACTAATAAAAAATTATATCATTTAATTGCCATAATTCTTTTTTATTTTTATTTCTTTTTAAAATTTGAAATAATGATTGCCTTTAATATTGGCTCCACCACTTCCATAATGCAAGTGGTAGAAGTAAGTAATATTTGGATTATATTAATTTTTAAAAAGTACTTGAATAAGAAAATCTAAAAGATGTGGAATCAAACTAAAGTGAATAAAACTATATCTTGGAAAAACAAAATAAAAATATATATAAATAATTGGTCAAATCCTTCTAGAAATTTCAAATTTCTATAATAAAAAAAAGGTACTTAATAATTAATTATCTTAATCTAAATATGCAACTCCATTCATTAAGCTTTATTGTTCCTTTTGTCCATAATGCTAATCATATATAGTTAAACCTTTCCACAACAGCATCTTTTATTTGTTTTTTTTTTTTTTGGGGCTATTGTAACAAAATATTTTTTAAAAATGATTAAAAAGAAATTGTTATAAAAGATATAATTATGAAAAATATTATATAATATAACATATATTTCAAGAAGAAAGAGTTATTATAATGAAATATTATTATAGAAAATGCTATTATAAAAATATCGAACAATATATTATTTAATGCTACAAATTCGTATATATTATATAGCCAAAAAGATAAGTTGATATCAATTTTTGTAGACAAAACATGAGGGTCCAATCCAAAAATTTAAGTATTAGGTAGGAGATTCCATTCAATTATTTTATCTCTCTTGAATAAACGAATAAAAAATATTTATCTATCATAATTCGAGGAATGGATAAATAATAAATATAAAAATAATGTATTTATCATAAAATGAAATTATAATTAGAAAAATGAAGGGTATAATAAGCCACGTGCCTATAAATTTATAATTAAGCTAGAGTTAGCAAGTGAATAACCAAAAGATTGAAAATTTGGACAATTTATATGCAGTTAACTAGTAGAGCTACTATTATTTTATTTCTATAGGTGTTAACAAATTACTATACGCTATACATATTATATTATATTATATTATATTATATTGTATTGTGTTATATGATATTATAAATATTATTTTAATATTATATTATATTGTGTTATATTATATTATAAATATTATTTTAATAAATATAATATGTAGAGATAAATCATATCTAACTTGGGACGGGGAGCAATTATTCACTTCCCAACCTTGAAATAAAACCAAAAAAAAAGAAAAATGATTTGTAGAAAATATCCAAATGACCACTTTGCCATCTAAAGACAAATAAAATGACTATTTTACCCCTTAAAAGTTGTTGAATAAAAGGTGACAATAATACAATTCAAAATCCAAACTATATGTTATTATTTTACGGTTAGAACTTAGAAACAATAATTGCCGACAACTCCATATGTTATATAGTACTTGATAATTAAAGATTTTTATTTTGATTTTTTATTTATTGTGTGTGGATTGGAATTCATATTAAAATTTTAATTAAATTTATATAGTGTACGAGATGATTAATCGTTTGAAAATGATATTTTTAACAAAATGAATCTGATACATATTATTAAGAGTGAAGTAATTTTATCACTATATCACAATCTATATTGATATAATTAAAAGACTCAAAAGACATAAAAACACTTCCTCTTAGAACTTTCTCTATTTTCACGTGCTCATGTATCCATTCGAGATGATAACAAAAACAATTTTGGTTTTTGAGTTTGACAAAACAGATTATTTTTGGTCTCCGTTGTTAGATATTTAACGGGATGAAATAAAAATATATTGAGTAAAATTTTGTAAGTGAGCTTTAAAAAAAAGT